ACGCCGGGGCCTGTGGGCGCTGCTGTGCCCCAGGCGCTGGAGAAGAGCAGGGCGGGGCCTGAGGCCGAGAAGAGGCCGCGCCGAGGGCCAGAGGAGGATGGTCCCTGGGGGGCCTGGGACCGCAGAGGGACTCGCAGCCAGGGCAGAGGTCGCAGGGCCCGGCCCACTTCGCCTGAGCTTGGTAAGGCCTCCAGAAGCACCACTGAGAAGGTGCTGGGACTTGGGTGGGAGGGCGTTTGGGGAGAGGAGGCTGCTAGGGTATGGTCTCCTGGGGCAGGAATGGACTCAAGCACAAGTCTGAGTGAAAGTTTTGAAGGTTGATGTGCTAAAACCTGCCTGCTGGTGAGATAGTGTGTGTGTGTGTGTGCGTGTGCGTGTGTGTGTTGTGTTTTTTAGAGTGTTTCTGTTTTTATGGAGGCGAGGCTGAGGTGTGAGCAGAAACCCAGTGCCCAGATGCCTGCCATAGGCCCTCTGGGTCTAGGGGCCTGCTAGTCTGTTGGGTTAAGGACCTAACTGATGGAAGGCACTGGTGGAAATCTAAGGAGCTCCTCCCCACACCGCCCTTCCGTGGGGGACGAGATGGAAGCCTGTCTCAATATACCAGTGTAATCGGTTAGGTCCCTGTTACAAGAAAGCTCTGGATCAGCCAACTCTCGTCTCTGCCCTCCCCATCCTGGCACCATCCCTGGACCCATCTGTGGCCACTAAGGTCTAACCCAGCCTCTCCTTCTACCCTCTTTGTTCCCAATCTTGAGTCCCTGCGTCGCTGAGCTGACTGTGGTCACCCGGCAGCCTGTGTGTGGTCTCCCAATCTTCCTGTGGGTGATGGCCAATAGCCAGACTGCCCTTGCCCCTAACTCTGCTCATCCTGAACACCAACTTGGGGCCCACTCCTGGGTTGAAGCAGGGGAAGCCATCCTTCACTCGCTCCCACCCGCTGCTGCTTCCCCAGGCCAGAGGCCCTACACACCGCTCCCAGGAGACCCTGTATGTCTTTTTCATTGCGCTTACCACCCTGTATTTTTCTTCAGCAGAATCACTTTATTTTTCATTAAAGTATTACCGCCCCCAAAATTCCTAGAGATGATTAGGCCCCTGTCCCTTGTTCTACTGGCCATCATTATTGCATATGCACAGCCATGTCCCAGGCACTGTTAACTGGGTGCCTAGGGGGTGTTATTTTAACTTAATCTGTATGCCAGCTTTGTGAGATATTGGGTATTATTTATCAGCTCCATCATACAGATAACAAAACTGAGGCACAGAGAGGTTATCTAATTTGCCGGTTTATGTCGCTAGAAGACAGCATAATTGGGATCATCACTGCTCTTTTGGCACTGTGCTTTATCTAGCTTATAGAACATCAGAGTTAGAAATACCCAGAGAGATCTCTGTGTGTACAAGCGTCCCGTAAGCAAGGACCACATCTTATTTCCTCTTATCGCCCTGGTGCCAAGCAGAGCTTAGTATGCAGTGTTACTGTTTGATAGATGGACAAAATCAAAGCCGATTTTCATGGGGCCTCTCAGACGGCTATAGGGCGGCATCACTAATATGACAGTACATCCCATGTTGCCCTGTGACATCACTATTATTACTTACATGTCAGGTTGCTATTACCTTGTCTTCTGTCTGTATGGAAACTTGTAGTATCTTGTGCCCCTCAGCGTGCCTTGCACAGGGATGATCTACCATCCCTGACCGCTGATTTGTGTAAAGATGTGGTAGGGCTCCTGCCTTCCTCCAGAAACAACACTGTGGCTGAGGTTGAAGAGCAGACAAACGAATGCAGAGTCCTGGATGCCCTGTCCTGCTTGAGAACCCCCTTTCTATCTTTCTTCCCTGTCTCAGGACATTCAGGAGAGAGGTCTTTTGCTCCCCAACCCCCACCTTCTAGAAGACCTCTCTCTGGGTTTGGATTTCTAAGATGCAGGGCTGCCATCACAGCCTCTATCCCCGAGTCGTCTCCATAGGACCATATCCCTTTACCCTGTCACCCGTGTCTCTGGCAGAGTCTTCGGACGACTCTTACGTGTCTGCTGGAGAAGAGCCCCTGGAGGCCCCTGTGTTTGAGATCCCCTTGCAGGACGCGGTGGTGGCCCCAGGGGCGGATGTGCTGCTCAAGTGTATCATCACCGCCAACCCCTCGCCCCAAGGTGAGCTCCAGAGTTGGGGCCTGGCTAAGGTTGAGACAGGGAGGGGTGGGTGAAGAGGGAAGCTCATCTGCTCCCGGGCTGGGCTGTCCTGACTCCTGCATGTGTTAGAGCTTCCCAGAATCCCCCGAGGAAGGGGAGGGCAGGCCTGGGCTTCTGTGAGTGAGGGGAGTCCTCCAAATTCCCTAGGGTGGGGAGAGGAGTGGCTTGGGCTCTGTGTGGCGTGTGGGGTGGGGGGAGATTTGTCCCAGTGGGCCCCTGTGGGCCATGGTGACTGGGCACCCTGCTGCTTCCCCCCAGTGTCCTGGCAGAAGGATGGGTCCACGCTGCGCAGTGATGGCCACCTTCTCATCCGGGCGGAGGGCGAGCGGCACACCCTGCTGCTTCGGGAGGCCCGGTCGGCTGATGCTGGGAACTACACGGCCATCGCTACCAATGAGCTGGGCCAGGCCAGCTGCGCTGCCACGCTGGCTGTGAGACCTGGTAGGGAGCCTGTGGGTCCCAGGGCCGGGTGGAGTGAGCAGTGACCCTTCCCTGTAGGCCCAGGTCCCCTTCCCCTCCCAGCCTAGAGCTCAACTTTCAACCACTGTGCAGTTTGTTCTTGTGTCCGTTGCTCTGGTGGAAGCATTTTAAATGGCCTTGGCCTCAGGGCAGAGGCCAAATTCCCAAGGCACACAGCAGGCTGGCCAATTCATGAAGTCCCTGAATTTTGTCTTTAGACATTCTCTAAATGCCATCCTTTCATGGCATTTCCCTGAACAGGGTCCTATGGGGAAAGCAAATTATCCGCGAGTCTCAGAGAAAAAGAATATCCCTGCTCAAAGGGCTTAAAAACCATCAGGAACCTCTGAGGTCATTTCCTCTCTAGAGCAGCCCACCTGCTCCCTTAAGAGAGATGCTTTTAAGTGCTTTCCTCCCTCCCTTGTTCCTTCTGTTGAACCCAAAGCTCTAAAGAGGGTCCAGCTGAGACCACTTCTTGGGAGGTGACAGTGGCTGAGGCTGCTCTGTTTTCTATTTTTATGAAAGTCCTCACTTGGTGTCAGACTACTTCCTTTGGGTTTAAGCCCAGTTGCTTTCAGGTTCAGGGTAGGGCTGGACTGGTGTCCATGTCCATGGCCATGGCCTGTTCAACTCGTTCAGGTCACTGGGCCCAACAATGTGTTGACCCTGGGCAGTGGGGGTGGGAGGAATTGAGGCTGGGAAAGGGGCATTCCAGAAGCAAAAGATGCAGACTCAACCCTCAAGGAGATTACGCTGGGTGATGACCCTCCACCAGAGGACTTAGGTTGGAAGAAAGTGCAGGGCAGATCAACCCTGTCCCTAGGAGAGTCGAGCAGTTGGTCAGTGTTGTGGGATGCTGGATGGAGAGACATGAGGGCCCTGAAGGAGGCTTGGATTTAGACTGGCAGCGGGAGGGGTGGGCATGCCAGGAGGGGCGAGAGAACACGCTGTTCTGTCCCTTCTTTCACCCAGCCCTGCTGGTGACAAGATTACAGAGCCTGTCTTGCTGTGGGTCAGGGCCTCGGCACCTTCACCATCCACCATCAGGGAGTTCTTGGTGGGATCTGACCTGAGTCCAAGTCCTGCTTTACATCCTTATGGTTGTACCTCTCTCGCTTTGCAGAAGAGCAGGTCTTAGCTTACAGACCCCTCCCAGAAGCTCAGATATAAGGTTCTCTCCTTCCCCTTGCCCCTCCCACCTCAAGGAAATGTACTGTCCCTCCACTGTGTGCTTCCCTCCTTCCATCACCTCTGGGATCTGCTTCTGATTCAGCTCCCAGCTCCTCTTAGGGGGCCCAGGCATGGGTCCAGGACTCTGGTCAATACCTGGCTTGGACTGTTTGGCAAGGAGTGGGGTGGGGGGTGTTCCCCAATACTGGCGCAGGGCCATTTGGGAGCCTTTTATGGTTGGGAAGGAGGCTTGGGGCAAGGCAGCTGTCTGCACTTGTCTTTGCCTGCTGAACCTCCCTGCAGTTGCAGTTTCCTCATTTGTAAACCAGAGATAATTATACTATTCGCAAGAAAGAAAGCAAATGTGTGAACGAGCTTTATGAACTGTAAAGCTATAGACAAATGCTAGTTGTTAGCATTATTAAGTGATGCTGTTGTGCACGGGAGCTCAGGTTCCCTCGAAGCTTCGGGAAGCTGTCTTTCCCGTTTCTTTCCTTTCTTCATACTGTTTATGCCTTGGAGTCTCCTCCCTGCCCTTGCCAAGCCCGCAGCCCCCAACCCCCCATATTTCCCAGATGTCACAGCATCTCTGTGCCTCTCCACCCCGGGGAGCTAGGGTGTGCATCCAGAGAATAGCTCCTGAAAGTCAGACTGGCTCCAGGCTCCAGGGCTTGAGGGGCAGGCACGTGGGTCCAGACTCAGCTCTTGTGGAGGAAGCAGACTTTCTTACCCTACAAGGCTCTGTTTGGTCCAGAGCAGCTGGATGGAGGCCAGTGGACCGGGAGAGCAGCAGGAATGGGCGGAACCAGTGGGTGGCTCAGACATTTGGCAAAGGCTGGGGTCCCAGGCCTGGAGTTTGTAGGGAGTGGGAGGGGGGCTAGGGAAGGGTGTTCCGCAGTGTGGCTGTGGGTGGGGTAGGAGTAGGGTGAGGGAGGGAGTGTCTAGTGTATTTTGGGAAGAGGCCCTGTGGAACCGCCTTCTTTTCTTGCTCCTCACCAACCCCTTTGGTAACCAGGACTGGCTGCCCAGTGCCCTCTTGGGGTTCCTACCCCAACAGGACCTGCTTTTGAGGGCTCACAGATCTCAGTTCCTGGTTGGGAACCACTGGAACAGGGAATTGGCAACTAGAGAATGTAGTTACCCTGGTGCTGTGGTTTGGGGGGCACAATGTCCTCACCAGCTCTGGCAGCCCCACCCAGCCCTGGATCCCTCTCATCCTGCCCCACCTCACTGAATAACTGCTGAGTTGAGCTCCCAAAGGGTGTGTGTATCAGGACAGTGGGTTGGAGGGTGTGAGAAGTGCTTAACTGAAGCTAAGCGTTTCACAGCTGCCTGCATCCATCACACAGGCATTTATTGAGTCCCAACTGGGTGCCAAGTGCTACATCTCTTGAAATAGTTTCGTGTGTTTGCAGAGTGCCATATGCTTTCTTCCAAACCCTTTCACGTCTCTTCCCTTACTTGAGCTACGTCACACATGTACAGTTGACCCTTGAACAATTTGGGGGTCAGGGGCACTTACTGCCATTGTAGTAGAAAACCCTCATTTAACTTTAGTTGGGCCTCCCTGTGGGCAGATTCCTGACTGCCAGGTGACCCTTGAACAACAGGGGTTTGAACCGCTCAGATCAATGAGAAACATTCGTGTATAAGGAACCATTGCAGTTCAAACCTCTGTTATTCAGGGTCAGCTGTATATTTCTTGGAGGGACATGATGGGTGGTGACATTCCCAGTTTATAGATGGGAAGGTGAAAATGTGGAGAGTAAAGCGACACAGAGATAGCACGAGGCCAGCATGTCTACTTCGCATCTGTAATCTGCCTGGGGTGCTGTAAGCAAGAGGTGAGTGAAATACTCACCTATGGAAAAATAAACACAGTGTGATGGCAGATGAAAATAACATGACTAGTCAGCATCTCCTGAGCACTTTGTATATACCAGGCCCTGTGTTGACTGGGTTCTCACATTTAATCCACCCTGTGAGGTAGGTTCTATTATTATGCCCATGTTACAGATGAGGGAACTGAGACTTGGAAAGCTTTAGCAAAGTGCTCTAGAGTAGTGCTGATCAATAGAAATTTCTGTGATAGAACTACTATATACGTGCACAGTCCAATATGGTAGCCACTAGCCACATGTGGGTATTGAGCACTTGAAATGTGGTTAGTGTGACTGAAGGGCTGAATTTTTTATTTCATTTTCATTAATGTACATTTAAATCATCTCAGTGGCTAGTGGTTGCCCTATTTGCTCAGCCATAGGAACATAGGGTCCGTGGGAAGCTGGGTGGTGATTTGAAGCTCTGCCCTTGGATCTCCCAAGTCTGCACTCCTAACCACTGCACCATACTGTCCCCTTTCCTCTACTCAAGAGGTTCGGGGTTCAGGTAGAATTGTGCTCATGAGCTCATGGGGTGGGGGTGGGAGCAGAGACTGCCGATGCCCTTGGGTTTTCTTTCCTTTCTTGCCCTCCCCCCGCCTCCTGCTTTGTTTCCCTGTGTGCCCAGTGTGCCCACAGTTGGCTCACCCCACCAAGGGCTCTGGTCAGGAGGAAGGGGGACATGGGTGGCTTCATGTACCCAGGCCTCTGTCCTGCTGCTGTCAGTCCTCCCCTCAAGCACAGGTCTCATCTATTTTCCAGCAGAGACCTTGGCCTCTCCACTTCGCTTTAGCTGGCCACCATGTCCTCATCTGAACAGCAAGGATCATAACCCCTGAGCTGGTTTCTCAGTCAGATTTGTGAGGTTCTGCAGAGCTGAAGATTCAGCTAAGGACCTTTGGTCCAGAGGAAATGGCTTATCAAAGCTCATTTTGGTCCCATCTGTATGATGACGTGATCACAACAGAAAAGAGGTGGTTTGGGGAGGGCATGAATATAAAAGGAAAGGAAGAAATTATGGCACTCCTGTCTGCCCCCTTCTCCTGGCCTGGCCCTGGCCCCGGCAGATTCTTACTTATGAAGTCAGTGGCTGCCTGTGGAAGGGATCTTAGAATGCCACATGGCCCCATGGCCCATCCTTGATGGGGTCTGGACAGCATCGAAAGAAAGCAGTGTGGTCTCTTGACTAGACTCAGCCCTCCCTCCCCTTTTCTGTCTCCCAGAAGCAGGTCTGCCCCAATAGGTGTCCCCCCAGGGCTGCTACCTCAGAACGGGGGTCCTCACACACAGCCTATCAGAGGAACGTGGACCTAATTTACTGTGGGTGCCAACGCTGATCTAACATGGGGCAATCTTAAACAGCAATCCTAAATAACCATACGTAAGAGCTGAACCACTTCCATGCCTAGGTCAGGCTGACCATGTGAAATGCTCTCTGCTTCCTTGTCTATTTTTAAACCAAAATTAAAACATTCTCAGCACAACTCTTCTCCTTTTCCCTCCCTTTCATGGTGGGATTAGCACAGCAGGCACTTAAACAAATCGCCCCTGGAGAAACCCACTGGGACGGTGCGGGTGGACAGTTGGCTGTGAGCGGCCAGGCCATGTGCAAGGCTGTGAACCTCCAGCACATACTCCCTTCCACAGACACCTCAAGCAGCTCCCTTAGCCCTCAGGGAAGGCACGGAAGCTGGCCTCCACCTTCCGCACCTGAAGTTGATCTGAGGGTGGCTGGAGGCAGCTGAGGCAGCGGGAGGGACCTGCTCTAACATGGTCACGTCCCATTTCTTTCTTCTTTACCTAGTTCTGTAGCCGGAGGGGTTGAGCTGCAGTTCTCTGCACACGCTTTCTGCCTCTGAACATTTGCTCCTGTGGTTTCCTCTTCCAGGATTGCTTTTTTTCTGCTTAAATGGAACTAACTCTTCATTCTAATACACCCCTTCCCTCAGTCCCCTCTTCTTCCCTGGGCCAAAAGTAATGTCCTACTGTCTTCACTACTGTGGCCTTCTCTGCCCCTCTCTTGCCACCTTCCTTGTTCCTGTTTGCTCTTATAGTCCTGTGTGTATCTGGCTTGTCATCCCATCAGCCAGAAGGCTCCTCAGGTTATGGCTGTGCTTTGGCTACTCTTAGCTCTTGCAGCCATACCTGGTGGTCTTCGTGGAAAGTCAAGGTCTGTGTGTGAGCTGACAGTGGGGGGTAGAGATCCCCGGGACTTTCCAAGTCCCCGGAACAACCTGGATAACACACAGAGGCTGGGTGAGACACACATCAGCAAAGGGTAATGAGGACCTGCCTGAGAGTGGAGGTTGGGGCCAGAGGAGACCATAGAGCAGTGGTCCTCAAAGTGTTGTCTCCAGACCAGGAGTAGCAGCATCACCTAGGCCAGTGATGGCGAACCTTTTGAGCTCGGCGTGTCAGCATTTTGAAAAACCCTAACTTAACTCTGGTGCCGTGTCACATATAGAAATTTTTTGATATTTGCAACCATAGTAAAACAAAGACTTATATTTTTGATATTTATTTTACATATTTAAATGCCATTTAACAAAGAAAAATCAACCAAAAAAATGAGTTCGCGTGTCATAGGTTCGCCATCACTGACCTCGGCCCAAAATACCACGTGTGGGCGCGCACGAACAGTGCGATTGAAACTTCGTGGCCCATGCGCAGAAGTCGGTATTTTGTGGAAGAGCTGGTATTTTGTGGAAGAGCCACACTCAAGGGGCCAAAGAACCGCATGTGGCTCGCGAGCCACGGTTTGCTGAGCCACATGCGGCTCTTCCTAGGCCTTAGGAGTACCCTAATTAAGTTAATAACAATGTACCTACCTATATAGTTTAAGTTTAAAAAATTTGGCTCTCAAAAGAAATTTCAATCGTTGTACTGTTGATATTTGGCTCTGTTGACTAATGAGTTTGCCGACCACTGACCTAGGGAATGTGTTAGAGACGCACATCATCGGCTCCAGCCCTGACCTAGTGAATCAGAGACTCAGGGCAGGTCCCAGCAATCTGTGTTTTAACGAGCTTTGTGGGTAATTCTGGTGAATGGTGAGTTTGAGAACCACTGCCCTAGAGTGAGGGACCTTGAACCGTGGGAGGCCCAGGTGGTATAGTGGGAACACGTGAGCTATGGAGCCAGACCCCTGAGGTTCAGAGCCCTGTGCTGAAATTTGGTGGCTGAGTGAGATGGGACTGAGTAATACCACCTCTTAGGGTTATCCTCCTTCTCACATGGGGATTGTGTAGGTCCCTAAACTTTCATGTGCATAAGAATCAACGAGGTGCTTTTGAAAATGCAATTTCCTGACCTCTGTTTCAAGAAATCTAATTTTGGGGCGTCAGAGTGAGGCCCAGGAATTTATAGTTTAAACAGGCTCCCAGGTGGTCCTGCTGTGGGTGGTTCAAGGACCATTCTGAGAAGCCCTGAGGTAGAGGGCCTCACGCGACGCCTGTCCTGTAGGGGACCCTGACTTGTGGGCTCCCCGATGCCAGTACTTTGACTGACCTGGGAGCAGTGTTGACAGGCCAGACATATGCAGAGTCAGTGTGTTTTGCAGTGGTGGGGTGTGCAGGGGCAGCACCTACATGGTGGACATTTGTGCATCTTGGGTTTGGGGGGTACCTGCTCCCCATTCCCTGGCTGGGGTAACTGTTTCCCACAGTGAGAGCTGGCCTTGTGGGTGGAGCGCAGCTGGGATGTAGGGACTGGCTACAAAGATGGTTTTGGTGGAGGGGCCAATGAAAAGGGGTGGTACCAGAGCCTGGTGTGGAACCGTAGCGGCTCTGGAATCTGGAGACAGAGATCCCTGATCAGCCTCCTTGGCCACACAATTTTGGGAGTCCAGAGGGGTGGGGGCCATGGTCTGGTTTCAGAGAGGCCCAGTTCTGGCCCTTCTGTAGCCAGAGCCTCCTGATTAGGCTGCACTGACAGCCCCCTCTCTGAGGGGCTTGAAGGACTCTGATTAGCTTGGCCACTGGATGCCCCAAGGTGCTGTTCCCCTAGCCACCACCAGAGGGCTCTGAGGATCCCTGCAAACTTCACCCATCTGCTTTAATCTCTCCTCTCCCTCCCTGGGCCAGTGGCCTCAGCGCTGTCCAACCTGGAGGTGACTCAAGAGGTCACCAGGATCCACAGAGGGGAGGGGGTGCCTGCCTTCAGAGGCCATGCCTGTGATCTCAGCATCAGCTAATGGCAAGCCCCGAGCAGATACTCACCAAGTGACCATTCTGACTTCCTTCCCCACCCCCACCTCAAGACAGCCAGCCTGAATGGTGAACCCCCTCTTCTGCCAGTCCCCCCCCTTCACTGGCAATGATGGGAAACACAGGTCATAGCTTGGGAATGTGGCCCCGGGCAGGGGTGATAGGAGGAGGGAGAAGGACATGTGACCTCTCCACAGCTCCCCTGCTCCCCTGCTCTGTCTCCAAGCCCCTTCCTCGCCCCAAATACAGATGGGTGCTGGTAGTGAGGGGCTGTGGGGGAAGCAGCCCCTGCTTCCTGACCGCTGGCCCTGGTGGGGCTGATGAGGGGAGGGACAACTGCCAACTGGTAGCGCCCGTAGGAAGAGTGTTGGGCACAGGCCCAGTGTCCTGTGGCGGCTGCTGGGCCAAACCTGCCATGGCAGGATGGGGAGACAGAGATGGGATTCTGGGCCCACTCAGACGGCGAGGGGCTTCTCTGGGAGCCAAGTTCTCGGATTCTCAGCACCAGAGAAAACAGGCTGTGGCCTGGCTCGTAGCATTTGAGGCTTGTTGGGAATCTCAGTGGTTTGGTCAGAGCAAGGGGCCTCATCGGGGCTGTTTGCCTTCGGTACCTCCTCTGGTGGACTCGTTGAAATGAGTGGGTCAGGGCAAGCGTCTTGGATGCTGCATGCAGTGCCACCCCATCTTCCCCTGGGGACCAAGGCCTTGGCGCTTTGAATCGAGGCGCCACTGAGGGGGCTTTGTGCTTGTCAGGGTCCAGAGCTGTAAGGAGAGAAAAGGCAGATCCTGCTGCTTGGGAATGAGCAGGGTGGCTAAATACAGCCGCCAGCACTCTGCCCCTCCCCTCTCCTCCCCCTCCACTCTAGGCCCAGGCTGCCTGTGGTCTCAGCAGGCACCACCTCCCCAGCCAGCTGCCTGCCTGCCACCCAGCCTGTCCCCACCAGGCCAGCCCCCACCTTTCCCTTCCCCTCCCCCAGGACCTCGTGCAGAGCCTCAGCAGGGTCAGCGAGTGAGTGGGGCTGGGCAGGCTGGGCTCTTGCTCTCTGGGGAACCTGGCGGGGTGGGTAGTGGGCAGGCAGCGGAAAGGCCTGGTGCCAGGGCAGAGCCTTCGGGACAGGCTCAGGCTGGGGTCTGTGTGGCAGAGTCTCCAGGTGAGTTGGGGTGCAGCCCTGTGGGGGGCCGGGCCACAGGGACTTGGGGTGGGGGAACCAGGAGGAGGGGCCAGGGGGCTGTGGTAGATTCATGTCTGTATTTGGCAGTCGGCGAGAAGCCAGCTCAGTGACGCTGGGCCCCTGGCCAGTTGCAGGGGAGGGCGTCAGGGCCCTGGAGACACCCCTCCCCCAAAGACACACTGGTGCCCCTTCCTCTTCCCCAGCTGCCTTTCTTTGTGGATGACTCAAACTCTGCTCTCCCATCTCCTGAGAGTTTGGGGGCCCATGCTTTAGGTCTGGGGCCAACAGGTGCTCCTGTGGTATCTGGGGCAGGAAGCTGAGAACGGAGAGGGGGAAGGGCAGGCTGAACAGTGCCACCTCATTGGTCCTGGCACTGAGGTCAGGATGGGGCTTGTCTGAGGTGTGTGTTCCTCTGCACTAGGCCCAGTTCACCCAAGATACGGGTGTCCTAGTTGTGCCACCCTGGGGTCCAGAGACGTGAACCACCTGCATTAGGAGCCTGCGATCCTGTGCCAGGAATGTGTGGGTTCCGGGCTCCAGTGGAATTCCACGTCTCCCACAAGGCCCAGGAGCGGCCCTTCTGCTGCCTGAATCCTTGGCCCCAGGCCATTCCCTCTGGTTCCCCTGCTCAGGAGGATCAGCAGGGTCAGTATTAGGAGAGTCTGTGACAGGATTCAGGGACTCAGGGAAGGAAATATCTGGCAAGGTCATATAGCAAGCAAGCCCCGGGAAGTGAGGTCAGGGCTGGGCCAGCCTGCAGGAACCGTCGTCTCACCTCCTGGGCTCCCATTCCAGACCTTATCAGGTCCTTGAACTCAGGCTGATCCATGTATAGCTCTCTCAGTCTCTCTGCCCTCCTTCCTCTCCTGGCATCCCTCTGTGTGCCACCGTCTCTCCTCTGTCTCTCCTCCAGGTGGGTCCACATCCCCTTTCAGCAGCCCCATCACCTCTGACGAGGAGTACCTGAGCCCCCCAGAGGAGTTCCCGGAGCCTGGGGAGACCTGGCCCCAACCCCCCACCATGAAGCTCAGTCCCAGCCAGAACCGCCGCTCCTCAGATGCTGGCTCCAAGGCGCCCCCCACCTTCAAGGTCAGATCACGGAGCCCAGCCTCAGCCTCCTGAGTACCTCCATTCCTTTGTGTGGCCTCTTGTTCTTGGGGCCATACCAGGTTCTAACACAGCCTGGAGCTTGACCCCATTAACTGAGAGCCAGCCTAGGTCAGACTGGGGTGGAAGAGGCCTCTGTCCCAGATCCCCCACCCCCCAGGAGCTGCAGCTGGGCCCTGACACTTTGGGGTTCCCTGCAGGTCTCCCTTATGGACCAGTCAGTAAGAGAAGGCCAAGATGTTACCATGAGCATCCGTGTGCAGGGGGAGCCCAAGCCAGTGGTCTCCTGGTGAGTAGCAGCTAACCACCACCTGCCAGCTCCCCTCCTCCCAGGCCTGGCCCTGTGAGATCTGGCTCTGGGCAGAGGGGACTGGGCCGTTGGTGGACTTGCCCTTGATCTGTAGGGGGCCACATCCCAGGTACAGTGGTGCCACTCCCCCAACCTGCCCCTGCCTCTGTCCCCACCTGCGTTCAGGGCTCACTGGGGGCTTCCTCCTGGGGGCGGGGTTTGTTCACTTGGGCCGAACAGCCTGGAGCCATCTCACTCCCCGAGGAGGCTGCCCGCCTCCAGTCCGTTGACCACAGGCTGAATTTTGAGGCCTTCTCTGCGCCCAGCCCTTTGCTAAGCCCAGGTGGAACCATTTGTTTCTGAGCTGCCAGAGCCCGGCGTTAAATTCGGGCCTCATCTGTGGTGCTACATCCCAGGTGCCTGGAGCTTTGATTAGTTCGCTCAGGTTATTGTTTTTATTGGTTTGGGTTCTACTTTCATTTTTAATTGATTGTCTCGTCCCCAGTGTGATTTCTTAACATTGTAAGTTATTTCATGTCCCTTTGGGGAAGTGGGGAAGCTACCTGTTCATTATAAAGAAATAAAAATAAGACATGAGGAAATTTAAGAGCTATTAAGAGCTGAAGAGCATGGCGCCACTCTAGGTGCAGTTCAGTTCCTAGAAAGGAGATTCCCAGGTGGGCAGACGTGATCCGGAAGTTCCTGGTGGAGGTGGGATGCGGAGTCAGGGTGAAAACCTATCTGTAACCCAGGGTGCCCATGGTCAGTGGGACAGATCTGGGGAGGGGACAAATGATGAGCAGGGAGGAGAGGCCAGCTTGGCTCTGTGCCCCCACTTCCTCATGTGCAGGTGAGGACCCTGGGCCCTGGGACTGAGTTCTTGCCCCTCTGACAGGCTGAGAAACCGCCAGCCCGTGCGCCCAGACAAGCGGCGCTTCGCGGAGGAGGCAGAGGGTGGGCTGTGCCGGCTGCGGATCCTGGCCGCTGAGCGGGGTGACGCTGGCTTCTACACTTGCAAAGCAGTTAACGAGTATGGCGCTCGGCAGTGCGAGGCCCGCCTGGAGGTCCGAGGTGAGTACATCCCACTCCCAATGAACACCCCCCGCCCCCGAAACACACACACACATCTGGCCCTGGCCTCATTCCTGCCCAATTGCCAATGTTCACATAACCTTAGTTACGGGATGCCAGAACTGAAAGGGCCCCAAGTTTAGCTGCTCATGTTGTGGTTGGGGAAACTGAGGTCCAGAGAGGGAAAGTGACTTTCCCAGGCCACATGGCAACTTGCCCAGTGCTCAGCTTACTACCCAGTACTGCCTTCCCCATGCTCAGGCATACCTGCCCCTGATGCCAGCCAGAGACCTTGTTCCTGCCACCAGCCATCCTCTCCTTCACTCTTCTACGCCTTTGTCACCTTGCCCTTCCCAGGCCCCTCCCTCACACCCACTCCCCTCTCTCCTATTACCCATCTCATTGCTGTGCAGAATCTACTGTGGCTGGGGGTGGCAGTGGGAATGTCTGATAGTTGGACCCGTTCGGAGGGGCCCTTGGGTGACTTGGGCATGGAGCATTGCCGGGACTCAGGGGTGCCAGGGTGAGCAGAGCTGTGAAATGTGGAGAGGGCTGGGTACCAGAGTCGGGCCTAAGGGTAGGGGGCCTTTCAGGCATCGGGGATGGCAGGCCCTAGCTAGGCTGCCCTGGGGGGCAGTGCTTTTCTTCCCAAGGACTGGCCATTTACCTCTCCTTTCACCTCCCCTTTCCCTGTGGACAGTTCAGGGCTGGGAACCCCTCCTCAGCTCCGCACTCAGCCATCGTCCCCCCTTCCTGGCAGAGGCCAGTTTTGAGAGCTTCCAGGATCCCCAGACCCTGCTGGAGCCCAGACCCTCACAGTCATGGTGGCCCCAATGGGCCCCGCCTGCCTCAGTTACCGACCCTGTGCCTCCTGTTCCTGGGGTCGCCTCCTCCTCAGTCTCTAAATTCTTCCATCCCCACCCCCAACCCCCATCCCCACAGCCTGGCCCCATTCCCTGGCCTGCGCCTGCCCCTTCAGGGTCTGGTCTGCCCTGCTTCTCTGTGCTAACCCATGTCTCGGTGCTTCTCTCTCTTTGGAATTCTCCCCAACATCTCTCAGGTTTTGGGGTGCTCCTGGTAGCTGTGAATGCCTCTCCCCTGGTTGCCCAGGGCCTCTACCTGCCCAGAAAACCCAGGGCCCCGGCCTCTGGCTGGCTGCCTGCCCCCCACCCCAGGGCTGCGCTTGGGGGAGCTGAACGTGGCAGTGCTGCCCTGGCAGTTGGAGAGACAGCTGTCTGTGCTGGGGGCCTAGCCAGGCTGCGTGCGTGCTTGTGTGTGCGTGCGTGTGCGTGTGCGTGTACTGCACTAACCTGCCGCTTGCTGACTGAGGTTTTTGTCTGTACACAGGCGAGTGAGCTCAGGGGGCCGACTGCGCTCCCCCCGCTACCCTCCGAGCCGCGCCCTGTCTCAGGCACCTCTCGGACCTCGCTGTGTTTCACTGCCTCCTGCCCACAGACCCTGCCAGCCTGGACCCTGTTCCAGCCTCCCCTCCCCTCCCTTTCCCGTGCAGCACCCTGGGGTAGCCCTGGGCCCCTGTGGACCCCTCCCTCCCCAAGTGGACATATGACTGGGCTGGCTAGGAGCCCCCACATGGACTGAGTGCCAGGAAGGGGTGGCCATGAGGACTATCAAGACCCCTTCCCAGTCTCTCCCTGCAGGGGAGCACCCAGGGAGTGCATGTGCTGCCACTGCTACAGGCCCTGTCTGTCTCTCCGTTTGTCTGTCTGTGTGTCTGTGACAGTCAGGAAAGGATGCCTCCAAGCTGGCGTGGGATAAAGCAGAGGGGGAGAGACAGGGCATAGCACCTGCAAGGTGGAGGGCCCCGAGGGGTCGGGGCTGTTGACAAGGAGCTCATGAAGTGGGGGCAGAGCACTGACCATTCCAGGAACAGGTTTTCAGCGGTACCACACTATTTCACAAGGGGCCAGAAGCCAGAGGCCCCGGCCCTGCGCTGATGAGGAGGCCTGGCTGAGTCCTGGCTGTGGGCAGGTGTAGGGCCCACTTGGGGCTCCCCCTTTCACTGTCAGAGTCCGGGAGGCTCTGTCTGGGAGCGAGGGAGTTAGCCAGACTTGACATGGGAGTAGGGGCCTCCTGTAGAGGGCGTGGAGATACTCAGAAGTACCTGTTTCTTAGTTCAAATAAAGTCCAGTTTGTACCCAGCTGGTGTGCTGTGTGGTATTATTTTCCGCCGCCGTCTCTGCCCTCAGTTTCACTGTCCTTGATTCCTGCCGCTTCCCGAGTTCCCCCTCCCTGGCCCAGCTGGGGTCGCTGTCCTGAAGCCAGGCCTGAGACCTGGCCGGCCATGAGGGTGGGCTTTCCCTGTGTCTCCAAAGGAACAAAATGCATCTCTCTCTCTGTGTCTGTCTGTCTCTCTCTGTGTGCGTGTGTGTCTCCCTCACCCCGTGTCTCCGCTCCATGTGTGCCTACTCCCCGTGGCCGCTCCCCCAGCACACCCTGAGAGCCGGTCCCTGGCCGTGCTGGCCCCCCTGCAGGACGTGGACGTGGGGGCCGGGGAAATGGCGCTGTTTGAGTGCCTGGTGGCGGGTCCTGCGGACGTGGAGGTGGACTGGCTGTGCCGTGGCCGCCTGCTGCAGCCCGCGCTGCTCAAATGCAAGATGCATTTCGATGGTCGGAAATGCAAGCTGCTGCTCACCTCCGTGCATGAGGACGACAGTGGCGTCTACACCTGCAAGCTCAGCACGGCCAAAGGTAACTGCCCACTTGGGCCCCAGGGCTGCCTCGGGCCCCCAAGAGCTGGAGGGAGGTCCCTGGAGGGGAAGGATTCTGGGGGAAGAGTGATAGATGGGAGAGGGTGCCATACACCTGCCTCAGTAAACGCACTTGGAGTAGCACCTAGAGCAGCGCCTGGCAGGAAGGGCCTCCCGTGTCAGTGTCAGCTGCTGTTCCTGTAGGAGCCCATCTGCTGAGGTGTGGCAGACAAACCTGGGTGTGGGTTCCAGTTCCTGCCCTGTCGCATACCAGCCACCTGACTTTGGACAAGTCACTTCATCTCTCTGAGCTCAGACTATTCATGTGTAAAAACGGGATCATGATAATGCCTAGCTCGGGGATCGGTAGGATTAATGAGATAATGAATGTAAAGAACAAAGCACAGCGCCTGGCGAAGGGTGCCACCTAATAAATGTCAGCCATTAGTTTTATGAATGACTTCTCTGACCTGGTCCCCGTCCTCGTTTGAGGAGGAGACAATGCCTCGCCAGGTTGTGGTAATGAGCACCTAAGGTGACACTGGAGGGACCTTGGAGGCAGGAAGGGACCAGGTCAGCGTCGGGTGCTGTCACTTCCCCCAGAAGATTGTCTGTGGGGCAGTGGAGTGGGGCGAAGGGGCATGTGCTTTATGTCTGGGGTGTGGGAGGAAGTATGGGCAAAACCCAGGTGCAGAGGAGAATTCCAAGGGGAGGGAAAAGGGGTGCAGGGGAGGAAACGGGCTTGTCTTCTAGGCCCCTCTTATTGCTAAGCTGAGCATCATCCTGGGTGGGCAAGGTGAGCTGAGGACGGGAGAGCTGGGCTGGGGCCCTGGACACCCATCGTATCCCTAGCCACCATGGCAGCCTCTGCCACCCTTGCCGACCTCCACCTTCCTGAGAAGGCCCAGTGCCTCTTCCAGTGCCTAGGGACCTTGCTGGGTTCCAGCTCCTGGCCCAGGCAGGGGGCCTGTGGGTCGGGGTGCCTGGGGTTCCGTGGCCTTGGATGCCCCAGTGCTGATCCCTCCCGCAGATGAGCTGACCTGCAGCGCCCGGCTGACGGTGCGGCCCTCACTGGCGCCCTTGTTCACACGGATGCTGGAGGATTTGGAGGTGCTGGAAGGCCGCACGGCCCGCTTCGACTGCAAGATCAGTGGCACCCCACCCCCCTCCGTGACCTGGACTCATTTTGGTATGCCCTCCACCCTGCAGATGTTGGGCGACCCCCAAGGGCCAGAGAGCAGGACCCCTCTCTGAGTCTGCTGTGCATTCCGCCTCTCTCCCCCCAGGCCGCGCCGTAGAGGAGAGTGAGAACTTGCGTCTGCGGCAGGATGGGGGGCTACACTCGCTACACATTGCCCATGTGGGCAGTGAAGATGAGGGGCTCTACGCAGTCAGTGCCACCAACACCCACGGCCAGGCCCACTGCTCGGCCCAGCTCTACGTGGAGGAGCCTCGGACAGCCGCCACTGGCCCCAGGTACTGCCGGGGGCCCGGAGCTGCCAGGGCTGCCTCTGTGGGACCCCAACCCAGCCTGTGACAGGAGGCAAAGCTCTGGGACTCTGGGCAGCTTTGTGATTTTTGCAGCTCGAAGCTGGAGAAGATGCCATCCATCCCTGAGGAGCCAGAGCATGGTGAGCTGGAGCGGCTGTCCATGCCCGACTTCCTGCGGCCGCTGCAGGACCTGGAAGTGGGACTGGCCAAGGAGGCCATGCTGGAGTGCCAGGTGACTGGCCTGCCCTACCCCACCATCAGCTGGTTCCACAATGGCCACCGTATCCAGAGCAGTGATGACCGGCGCATGATGCAGTGTACGTGCTGGGGAAGGGGCCCTGGGGAGTGTCCCCTCCAGCACCTCTCTGCTTGTGGTGCCCTCCGTGTGCTCACCCTCAGGCCTTCCTTTTCTAGCCTCGTCAAGGATGAGGCATCTAGTGGAGGGGAGCCCAGAAAGGCTATGAGGTCGCCTCCTGCCTTGAGCCCACACAGCACCCATCTTGCTGAGTCACGACTCTGGACCTCAGTAGCTCCTTAGAAACTTACTAGACGGCCTGCTACGGATCGTGGGCAGGTTACAGAACCCCTCTGTGCCTCAGTTTCCTCATCTGTAATCGGTTTGTTAGAGAATTAGATCAGCAAGTACATATAGAACACTTAGGGCGTGGCAAATAGCAAGTGGTCAGTACGTGTCATATCTTATGATTATTGCTACTGTTTTTGCCACCATTGTCATTCTCATTGGTAAAGCAGAGAAATTTCAGTGAAAAGGCCCATGCGGCCAGTGTCTGGCACCGAGAGGATGCTTGGCCAAGGCTATTCATGAATAGCAAGTAAAGAAGGAGCTGGAGGAAAACAGAGGGATGTATTTGGGACCGTGTCCTCAGCCTGGGGTGTTTCCCATGGGACGATTTCAGTTCCACCCTCGAAGGAATCAGAGTCTCCAGTGGAAAGGGCCACCTCCCCCATCAGACAGCGCCACCCTGTGCCACACGATGGCCTCCTCTGACAGCAGCAGGGTGACAAAACTCAGCGCCTCATGTGTGCCAGGGCCTGAGCGCTAAAGGCCTGGCGTGGATGATCTCACCACGGGCCTGTGAGGCAGCTACTATTACTCCTGTTTAAAGATGGGGAAACTGAGGCTTACGGAGGATCAAGGACCTGCTCAAAGGCAGGCAAGGACCATCTGACTCTGGCTCCCACCTCCTAACCAGGATGCTCCCTGTCGGCCGTGCCCATTTCCAGTGCCACCACTGAGGTCCTTCCCCTCTGCCCTCCACCACAGCAGTTGTCTGCTCAGCCCACAGACTTCCCATCTCTCCATCTGCTTGAGGCCCTGGGTGGGTGTCTGGCTCAGAATCTGAGCTGGCGTCTCTTCTGTTTGTATCTGGGGTCAGTGGCGGCCCTTGGTTTCTCTTCCTTTATAAATAGTCTCAGTAGAGATAAATGGGTGACTGCTCCATGGGAGATAACCACTGAGAGGAGGGAGGGTATTTGGGGACAGCCCTTATATGAATGAGGACAGTGTAGGCCTCTTCCTCTTCCTGTCCCTGCTGGAGACAGCTCCCTTATCATCATTCTGGGAACACGGCGTAGGGACAGAGCTTTGAATTCAGAGGGAACCAAGTTCAAGCCATTGCTCCATCATTTATTAGCCATGTGACCTTGGACAAGTTCATTAATGTCTCTGACCTCATTGGTAAAATAAGGATAATTTTGCAGGGTTGTTGAAAGGATTATGGGGGTGGGAAATGTATGTCAAGTAGCTGGCATAGCAGAACACTCTTATTGGAGGTTATAATGTAATACATATATTTGGCACTTACTGCATGCTAGGTAGTGGGTTCTGCTGGAGGTCCTGGGGAGGGGAGAAGGGATGGGGGTGCAGAGTGGGGCCCCCAGTCATGGCACAGGAGGTTTCCCAGGCTGGCACTCCCTTGAACTATGTCTTGAAGGAGAAGGAGGCCTTAGTAAGAGAAGAATGTTCCAGAAGGGAGGAATTTTGTGAGCAAAGACCTGAAGATGGAGCCCCTATGGCTTGTTCAGGGACCTGCTGGTGGAGGACTAGCAGGGGATGTGGCCAGGTGGGAGTTTAGCAGCTCTGGCTGCTGTCAGTAGGTGCCTATGCAGTAGGTGCCTTTAAGATTTTCAGGTTGAGATGCAACATGCAGTGCTGTAGGTGGAGTGTGGGCTGCACTAGTGGAGCGCTCTCAGGGGCTCTGTGCTGGCCATGGGACCACCAGTGGCCATGGGAAGGGCCCTAGGAACAAAGTCTTGATAGAACTTTGACACAGAGGTGTGACACCCTCCCCAGAGGTGCGAAGAAGAGGGGCAGTCAACAGTTGGTGGATGGTGTGGGAGGAAGGTGAGAAGCTGCAGGGCCTGAAGTGTGGAAGGACAGACAAGAGGGGCCAGGGCTGCAGGTGTAGACTTGGCAGTCTGGACCTAGGGTTTGCCACACGATGGACACTCTTCTTGCTTGTCTGCTATTCTTTCTCTCTCCTCTCCTCCCTGAGTGGGTGGGGGTGAAGGGCCAGGTCTAGGGTGGCGTGGGCTCACCCCTCAAAGTATTCTCCTAGCTCAGGCCCAGTGTTACTGTCCCTCCCTGCCCGCCCCCCCAGACAGGGATGTCCATCGATTGGTGTTCCCTGCTGTGGGGCCTCAGCATGCTGGTGTCTACAAGAGTGTCATCGCCAACAAGCTGGGCAAAGCTGCCTGTTATGCCCACCTCTATGTCACAGGTGAGACAGGCACCCTCCCGGCCAGCTGCATGCACAGCCTAGCCTCTGGCCTACCCAGGGGGCTGGTGAAGGGGGCTTTTGCACCAGCTCTCTTCCTTCCATCCCCTGGGGAGCCGTCTGGCCTTGCCCCTGCCCCCAGCCCACTCCCCTGAGGCCTGGTGATCCTGTGGAGCCACTGGGATGTAAAAGCCTCGGCGGATGCTTGACCTTTGGCTTTCAGATGTGGTTCCAGGCCCCCCAGATGGTGCCCCACAGGTGGTGGCTGTGACTGGGAGGATGATCACCCTCACATGGAACCCCCCCAGGAGTCTGGACATGGCCATCGGTGGGTCAGAGCCACACAAGGCTGAGTGGTGGGGATGGAGGCATGGGCAGGGCTGGCTCGGGCAAGGGTGCCAAGGGAGCCAGGAGGGGAGGGCAAGGCCCAGGGAAGCATATGGGGACGGAGTGCTGGGAGCACGGCTAGGAGCAGCCTTGACTGCCTCCTCTGCATGGTGGATGGAGCTCCGGGTCAGGAGGGGACAAAGGGAGCCACCACATTCCCGTCTCTTTCTCAGAGGGATTGGGTGCCTGGGTCGTGCTCCCGGGAAAATGCTCTTCTTCCCTGTCCACAACCTCTTCCTGCTCTCTGCCTCAGTTTCCCCACCTCAGATAGTAACAAGGAACTGGGATACAAGGCAAGCTCCCTCCATGCCTGTAACTGGACCCCATGCCTGGCACTTTGTTGGCTCTTAGCCTGGCTAGGCCAGTGGTTGGGCAAGAGCAGATGGAGAGCAGTTAGAAGCAACAAGAGACACTGAGGCAGGTCCTCAGAGCAGACTGATGATGAGTTCCTGGGTCCTGAAGAACTGAATGAGGGTGGAGCAGGGCACGCCCCAGCCATGCCCGTCTCTAACAGCTGCCTCCCCATCAGACCCGGACGCCCTGACCTACACCGTGCAGCACCAGGTGCTGGGCTCAGACCAGTGGACAGCGCTGGCCACGGGCCTGCGGGAGCCTGGATGGTCAGCCACAGGGCTGCGTAAGGGGGTTCGGCACATTTTCCGGGTCCTCAGTGCCACCATCAAGAGCAGCAGCAAACCATCACCCCCTTCTGAGCCTGTGCAGCTGCTGGAGCGAGGTGAGCCTGGGTGTGCTTTTGGAGCGGGGATGGGTGCTGTTGGGCCAGAGAACTGGGTCCCCCCGGTGGGAGCTCAAGGGCTGGTCTGGACATTAGAGCTTTGACAGGAACAGTGTGGCTGGGTGCGACCTTGACCGTCAAAGTGCTTCCTTCTCACTCCTGAAAGTGGCTCCTAGACAAAGTGCTGACCCTCTCTGAGCCTCAGCTTCCTCCTCTGTAAAAATGGAGCTCACAGGGCGATGGGGAGGGTTAGAGGAGCAGTGGGTCCTAAGGATCTCCTCCTCCCAGGCCCACCCCTGGAGGAGGCGCCCGCTGTGCTGGACAAGCCAGACATCGTGTATGTGGTGGAGGGACAGCCTGCCAGTGTCACCGTCACCTTCAACCACGTGGAGGCCCAGGTCGTCTGGAGGAGGTGGGGCCCTGCCTTGCATGCCCCATTCCCACAAGTGGCAGTCCAGTTCCGGCCGTCCTAGCCTGACCTCCTGTGGCTGGATCCTGGGTGACCTCCCTCTCGTGTGTCCCTTAGCTGCCGAGGGGCCCTCCTAGAGGCGCGGGCAGGGGTGTACGAGTTGAGTCAGCCAGATGACGACCAGTACTGTCTTCGGATCTGCCGGGTTAGCCGCCGGGACATGGGGCCCATCACCTGCACTGCCCGCAACCGTCACGGCACACAGGCCTGTTCGGTCACACTGGAACTGGCAGGTAGGTGATAGCAGACCCCCTTCCCTCTCCTCCCTCTGAGGCCCGCAGCCCTCTCCTCCCACCCCCAGGTGCACACACCCATTGGCCAGTCCTAGGTCTTCCCTCTCAGCCTGTCCATCTAATGGCCATACTAATACCAGTACTACTACCACTAATAGTAATAGTACTAACAAGATATTTATTGAGCACCGAGTACGTGTCAGGCTTAGTGCTAAGTATCTCACATTAACTCCTCATTTAATATTTACATCAACCCTGTGAGATGGGGGGTTGGTTATTATCCCTGTTTTACCGATGGGGAAACTGAGGCTCAGAGAGTGTGCGAAATAACAGGCTCAAAGTCACACAACCTAATAAGACCGGGAACTAGGATTCAAGCTCTGATACCCAATTCCAAAGCCAGAGGGTGCTCCTAGCTCCTGTGTTAAGCACAACAGGAAATAATACCTCAAGTGTAACAAGCATAGGGAGACAAGATCACTTTAAAAAAGAAAAAAACCCCAAGGGAGTGCATCTTACACGAGACTCTCAGCTCCCGGATCCTGGCTGCCCTTGGCTCAACTTGTCGGACAGAGCCTCCCAACCTTTGCTGTGAGGACGTGTTTTTTTTTTAATTTCTCCATCACAGACGTTGTCCCTCAATCCCCAGCATGCATTAAGTAGTAATTGCCTCGTGTTCCAGTTTGTTAATTAACTCTAGACATATGTAACTGCCACTCAGGGTTTCGGACCAGCGCCAGCTAAACAGTGTTACCTGCTGAGCAGATACAATTCCAACCAAATGCAAAGAAAGTGACATTTTAGTTAGCACAGGCAAGCTTCTCGTGGGTAAATGGGCATTTTCTGGTGCTTTTAAAGAATTGTTCAAGTTCATCTGATACACCTACTGCTTTGACCTTCATAGAGCCTACCCTCTCACCCCCACATCCTCCCCTCCCACTAGAAGCCAGATTCCTAGAGGGGAGGGAGAGCATCTTTAAAGAGGAAGAGAAGTGGCAGGAGCGGATGAGAAGATGGGAAACCGCACTGCCCCCCTGTGGATGGTGGATGGGGTGAGGCCGCAGATTATCTGGGCCCTGGATCTCCCTTTTACGTGTCTTTTCCTTGCCCAGTTTCCCCCACCCCATCCCCTGTCAATTTCTCTTCGACCACCGCTTTGCTCCTTGATAGGTCCATCTGCAGGGCTCATCTTTCTTTCCAGATATAGGGAGAGGCCCTGGCCACCCAGCCCTCAGCCTGGCCTGGCTGGGACAGTGACACGGAGACTGTGTTCCAGCCAACCAGGGCTAGAACAGGCCTGGGCTTGAATCCACACTCTCTCCCACTGTGCCCGCTCCCCCCCCCCCCCCCCGCCCAGGCAGGGCAAGTGGAATGGCCCCTTACCTCCCCTTTCCTCCATATCCGCCTCACTCCAGGTCTTCCCCACTCCCAGGATGCCCTTCCCTTTTATCTATATAAAACCAAGCAGTGTGCCTGTGATGGTGGGGGTCCCTGCCCAGTGCCCTTGCTCTTCCCCAGGGCCTGCCCACTCCACTCTCCTTAAAGCCTAGATCCTCAGCCATGCTGAGGAAAAGGGCACCAGGAAGTTACAGGCTCCTCTGCAAAGCACACTGGAATATGTATTTAATTCCATCACGAGAATTAGAAGCCACTTCATAAGGAAATAATACGATTGCATGATATGTGTAGAGAATAAAATCACAGTCACATGTGAGAGGACTAAGCTGAGATTCGGCTCCAGTTTGTTCTTACATCTCCAAGATGGCAGAGGGCCCCTTAAGCATTTAAACAAGATTCAGAGAGAAAACTTCAAGACAGAGGCAATGCCATCGGGAACTTGATTCAGGGTCACAGGCTCAGCGGAGTTTGGAGCTCAGGACAATAATGTCGGAGAAGCCTTCAATGGGACTGTGCACAGGGCGATCGCCCACAGGGGGCAGCGTTGAGCTGCTCCACGCCAGCCCATTAATGCAGTGAGGGAAGAGGCTCCGTCAGGATGGCCAGCCTGATTTGTCAAGAGAGACAGGAAACCCAGATTTCTTTTGTGTGTGAAAATCTCATTTCAAAGCTGGCAGATGAACACTGAGGGTCAAACAAAGCAAGCCTGCACCCTCTGGCTTAGGTTTTCTGAGATTCAGGGGACATCACATATGGATTTACAGGGAGAGCCGTTGGTCCAGGCTCGGAGTTTGAGAGCCCCAGTGGGTGAGGTGCTGGGGTCTGGGAAGTGGGGGCGGGGGATGGGGTCCTGGGTGGCCAGGGCCTCTTCCTCAGTTGCTGAGGAGGCAGGCCCACATGACCCCAACATTCTGTCCCCCTCCCTCCTCCACTCCCACCTCCTGTGTTTCAGAGGCCCCTCGATTTGAGTCCATCATGGAGGACGTGGAGGTGGGGGCTGGGGAAACCGCTCGCTTCGCTGTGGTGGTTGAGGGGAAACCACTGCCGGACGTCATGTGGTACAAGGTCAGAGGGTGACGCCAAGGCCTCAGGAGAGGCCTACCCTGGGGCTGGCCAGGAGCTTGGGGGAAAAGGAGGAGGGATTTCCTGAGAGTGTGGGAGGGGTCCAGGCAGCCTTAGGAGGAGGGGAGCTGCGGCAGAGAAGAGAAAGGGTGCTGCCAGAGGTGCGTTTTAGAAGGAAGTGGGACCCAGAGGTGCTGAGTGATGCTGGTGGGTGTGTGAGGAACCGGGGGACTAATTGGGGTAGAAGGGGTTCCTGGCCCTGAGATAGGGGTGAGACTGGGTCTCTGGCATGGAGGTAAAGCTGGGTCCCAGGTGGAGGTGAAGCCAGGCCCAGGCTGGAGGTGACGGCCGACTCTGCAGGATGAGGTGCTGCTGACTGAGAGCAGCCACCTGAGCTTCGTGTATGAGGAGAACGAGTGCTCCCTGGTGGTGCTCAGCACGGGCGCCCAGGACGGAGGCGTCTACACCTGCACTGCCCGGAACCTGGCTGGAGAAGTCTTCTGCAAAGCAGAGTTGGCCGTGCGTTCAGGTGGGCTGGAGCTCCGGGGCAAAGTGCTCACCCCCTGGGACCCATATGAGCCCCGTCCAGGAGTCACTCATCCGGCCCTGCACTCCTGGGCTCCCACATCTTCCAGCCCCAGCACCCCACTCAGGCTTCCAACATTCTTGGTCCTCTCTGTCTTTTCCATCTACCCTGCCTGTCTCAGTCTCTGCCCTCATTCCTCTCTTGCCCTTCCCATCTAACACCAGGCATCTCTTCCCCAGCTCAGACAGCTATGGAGGTAGACGGGGCCCGGGAAGACGAGGAACAGCGAGGAAAGAGACTCAGCGACTTTTATGACATCCACCAGGAGATCGGCAGGTGTGGGCGAGGTGTGGGGTGTGGTGTCTGGGGGCCAAGAAAGGCTGGGTCTGTGGCCGGGAGGGTGAGGAGAGTCAGGGTTGCAGCAATGCCTGAATCCCATCCTCTCCGTCTGTCATCACCCAGGGGTGCCTTCTCCTACCTGCGGCGTGTGGTGGAGCGTAGCTCTGGCCTGGAGTTTGCAGCCAAGTTCATCCCCAGCCAGGCCAAGCCAAAGGCATCAGCGTGGCGGGAGGCTCGGCTACTAGCCCGGCTCCAGCACGACTGTGTCCTCTACTTCCATGAGGCCTTCGAGAGGCGTCGGGGGCTGGTCATTGTCACCGAGCTGTATCCTGGGACAGGCTGGGTGTCCAGGGGATACCTGCCTGAATGACCGGTTCCTGTAACAACCAATTAGTAACATGTTTCACACTTAACAAAGTGGTCCCATTGACAGTTGGGAGTTCTGAAGGCATCTTATAAATACTTCATAGAGTGGAAGTATTTAAAAACCAACATTTTCTGCCCCCCTCCCCTTTTAGCTTAAATGTACATAGAACTTAATGTGTGCCTCACAGTGGTCTAAGAGTTTTATTTATTTAATCTTCATGTATACCTACTTATCTCGTGGACTTTTATCATCCCCATTTTACAGATGATGAAACTGAGGTACAGAGAGGTTAACTCACCAGAAGTCACACGGCTAGGAAAAGGCATGCGATTTTTGTCACGAAATGCAGTACAGCACATCTGAACATTAAGTGACCCTATTTCAGATGAGCATCAATACTTGGCTTTAGTAGGAGGCTGTTACCATAAAGAATGGGCTTTAGCTTTGTAAGAGAGTTTTTTAAACAAAGGCACACTATGGTAAGGATGCTGGGTGGTTGGCTTATTCTCACAAGCAGGGTGACCATGTCCTTCACAACAGGCTCCCAGTCTGCACTGTTAGAATCCAAACCTCAGCACAACGGCCGATTATTATGTGTCATGGACCTTCTAGGTCATTCTCAAATAGTCAAGAAGTCCCATCTACAGTCAACAAAATTCTGCTCCAACTTGATCCCTGCAAATACCTCACAGGGTGGGCAGGCACTCTCACAAGCAGGGTGACCATGTTCTTCACACCAGGCTCCCAGTCTGCACTGTTAGAATCCAAACCTCAGCACAACGGCCGATTATTATGTGTCATGGACCTTCTAGGTCATTCTCAAATAGTCAAGAAGTCCCATCTACAGTCAACAAAATTCTGCTCCAACTTGATCCCTGCAAATACCTCACAGGGTGGGCAGGAGGAGGTGTTATCCTCGTTTTACTCCTGAGGGAGTGTAGGCTCAGAGAGGTTAGGTGGCGTGCCTGAGAGCCCACAGCAAGTGAGAGTACAAGCAGGGTTGTCCCATCTGTGCACCCAGGTGACAGGCGGAAGAGTGAAGACACAGTTGCTAACTGGTACCAGATGTGCTTTAAGGGAGAGGAGAAGCCTGCGCTGAGCTGGGATCTGACTTGAGCTCTGGGAGTGGGGGCACTGCCCAGGGAGGGCTGGGCAGTTGGCATTGGTCACTGTTCTCCTTGATCCAGGACACAGCTGCACAGAGGAGCTGCTGGAGCGAATGGCTAGGAAGCCCACCGTGTGTGAGTCTGAGGTGAGGGCAGTGGGTGGCAGGGGTCAGGTTGGGCACTAGCGTTCACCCACCTGAACTCTGAGAGCTGAGGGGTGGGTCCTGGACATGCCATCTGTGCCCATGAATAGGCCAGGGGTGGTCCTGGAGAGCACTGGTAGGTGGGCAGCAGAGCCCTTTTCCTGCATCAGACCAGACCCCCACCCAGGGACTTGCTTATCTCAGCAGACCCACCCTGTCCCTACCGTGTTCCCAGGCTTCCTTGCGTCAACATTCCTCAGACACTCCTCCCAGCAGGAGCTCCACCTGGACTCCATGCAGCCTCACTCTGTCCTGGCACGGGGGGCGTGCAAGTTGTGCACTGCACACTTCTATTCATTATCATGTAAACGACTCCCTTCTGTCATCGTGGTGTGCCTGACTGTGTAGCTGTACAAGGAGGCCCTGGGTCTCAGCAACCCAACCTCTGTTCCAGTCCCCTCCACCAGCCATCTGAGGGCCACCTACCAGGCACAGCCTCACCTCTTGCCACAGCCCTGGTGGTGATCAGACATAATGCCCCACCCTTCCCCCATGGACTCCGGGTCACCTGTTTCCACAGATCCGGGCCTACATGCTACAGGTGCTCGAGGGGATATGCTATCTGCACCAGAACCATGTGCTGCACCTGGATGTCAAGGTGAGGTGCAGGTGGGGGTGGGGAGCAGGCAGCCCCATGGGAGCCAGGCAGCGGGGTGTCCTCCCCTTTTCACTCAGCCCCCACACCTTGCCCTGTGTCCTGCAGCCTGAGAACCTGCTGGTGTGGGATGGTGCAGAGGGTGAAGAGCAGGTGAGGATCTGTGACTTCGGGAACGCCCAGGAGGTGACTCCGGGAGAGCCCCAGTACTGCCAATACGGCACACCTGAGTTCGTGGCACCCGAGATTGTCAACCAGACCCCTGTATCTGGAGTCACTGACATCTGGTAATGTTGGCATCCTGAGCGGCTGGGGTGGGCCAGGGCAGCTGCCCTCGGTGCTGGGGAGGTGCTCACTGGCAGAGAGGAGCTTTACTAAGCCCAGGTTCCTTCTCTGACAGTCGACGGGTGGCATTGCTCATGGGTCCCTTGCCCACATAGCTACCTACCCCTACCCCTCATCAATCAGGGATGACCCAGGCACTCGAGGCCTTGGGCCTGTCCATCCTTGGTTCCTTATCTCCCCTGGGTGGTCAGCTGTCCCCTCTGCAGCCACCTTGCCTCCTCCCCCCCGCCGCCCTCCTCTCCCCCCAGTGAGGCAGGCATTGTCCCTTGGTTCCCAGATTTCTCATGGCTTCCTGGGCTGGCCCTGCCATGACCCTGGACTCCTCCAGGGTTGTCTGGACCTTTGAGTGCAGAGTCTTCCCTGAGGAGGCATCCTTGTATAATCCATTTGTCCAAACAGTGTTCACAGGATGCTTCTGGCTAGATTCTTGGTAGCCAAGAACGGCTCGCTTCTGGTGGGAGGTGGGCTGTCCTCTCACCGACCCTCTCTCCTTCCCCCACAGGCCCGTGGGCGTCGTTGCCTTCCTCTGGTAAGGACCTCTCTGCACTCAGAACCCCAGTCTCCAACGGTCTCTTAGCACCCCCACTCCCAACATGTATAGGGTCTGGGGCTAGCGAGCAGTTAGGGGTGTGCAGCCCACCCCTTCTCTTCCACACCCCCTGCTGCTTCCTGCACAGCAAGGGGCCGCATGTGCAGGAATGCGGACATCCCAGCCTGTGTGTCTGACTTCCACCGCCGTGCCCCTCCATAAGGGGTGGCACACAGCTGGATGGAGAGGTCAGAGCAGGCTCAGTGACATTTAGGCAGGGGGTACAAGGCCCTGACTGTCCAGCAGGGACTGGAAGGAGTAGGCTCAGTCTCAGGGAGGCATA